CGATAGTGATGAAAAAAAATATCGATAGTTTCGATAATCATGGTCGTAATTATCAAAACTATCGATAAATTATCGATAGTTTAAAAAAAACTATAATACCGGCTGTCGACAGTGTTGCCAGCTCAAATATGTTTATTCACTGCCAGTAGAAATCAGTAGGCTGATAAATTTGCTTGGTTAAAATTGTAAATAATTTTTAGACATATATTATGTTATTAATATTGCAGGCGTTTCTACTGATTTTTACTAAATTTTAGACTGTCAATTGATTAAAATTAGTAGATCTACTGAAAAATTAGTAGACCTGGCAACATTGGCTGTCAGTAATCAGTATCGATATTATCGAAGTCGATATCGATAGTTTCGATAGTATTTAAAAAAGCAAATAATCGATAGTATCGATAAAATATCGATATTATCGTCACCTCTAGTAGGTAATGTAGATATCACCTTTCGCGATTTAAATAACTGTCATTTAATTTGCTGTAGGTATGTGTTTTAGAACATTTATGATTGTTTATTATTTAAGTTTAGTTATGTAAGTAAAGTAGAATGAAACAGTTAATCGAATAGTGTGTGTATCATTTGCCGAATAAAAGGGCCACATTTGTTTGGTTTAATAATTTGTCCCTCTTTTCATAAATCCAATCTGTTATTAATAATGCGATTTTCTTTAAATTTGGGTGGTGATTGTATGCTGAAGAAATGAAATATTTGCCATAGTAAGTTTTTTTATTTATCATTGGCGTACGGTTTTAGGGGGTCGATTTTTCGGCAAAAGGATATTGGGGCTTATTTTAGATAATTTTTTTAATCCTATATCCCCAAAAACCCCTTAATCCATATTCTTAAAATCTTAAAAAAATTTTATTTGCTGAATATGATTAAAAAAGTTTTTACCCCCTAACACCGTACGCCAATGATAAATAAAAAATTTACTATGGAAAATATTAAGTGTCTCCAACCACCCAAATTTAAAGAAAATCGCATTATTAATAACTGAGATAATATCTATATATTATAAGGGTGGATTTATGAAAAGCGCGACACACTGTATACAGGGTGTTTCAGAATAAGATGCTGAACCTTAAGGGTGTGAATCCTTAGTTGATTTTAAGAAAAAAGTTCAAATAAACCTATGACCTAAACCTCTTAATTTTTAAGTTACAGAGTGTTAAAGTTTTAAGAAAAAAATCGTTTTTTTATCATAACTTTAATAACTTCCCAGATATTTTTATAAAATATGGCACACGTCTTCTAATCATTAAAAGTAAGTTTTTTATTTAGAAGATTTTTTATTTTTTTTACCAGTGGCGTCCGTACAGGATGTGGTCTAGATATTTTTGGAAAAATATTATGCACGCCACTGCTATTTTTCAAAATAAAAATTATTTTTTAAATCCACATTCATTTTAGGGCAAATTTGATTTCTTGACCATTTTTCGTACGACTAACGGTTTTCGCATTAAATGCTGTCGTGTAAAAGCATGTTTGGTAAGATAGATTTATTGGTTAAATCTTGGGAACGAAAGAATAGGGGCCTCGCTGATGCGACTTCGCCCACGTCTATATTAGTCCACGCTACGCCACTGTTATTATCACTAGTGGTATGATTATCATCGATGATATTTTCGAATTGAAACCGAGCTGCAGATTTCACGAGTCCGCAGGACGAGTGAAATGTGCTGCTTCGGTTTTAATGAGTAAATATCATCGATAATTAATCATACCACGAGTTATATTTAGTGAGAAAATATAATGAATTTTAGGATTTAACGAATTTTTAGTTTGACATTTGAAATTAAAATGTGCTTTAAAATATAAAAAGACTTTAATAAACCTTATTTATTCAAACTCACCTTAACTTTATTATCGTTTACACCAACCCATCGATCTTTTAGAGTTTATAATTCATTATTTTAATCATTTAGGTAACAAACACAGTATTTAAATGACAACAAATGTCAAATCAAAAAAACGTCAAAGTTCATAGTAACGTGTAAACAAGATGATAAAAATTATTGCCGCTGTGATAAAATACGTCACTATGGAATACTGGCATTTTATTGGTTCTAATATTAATGAATTATATTGTCTAAAAATTATTTAAATTAAATATTTATATAGAGCATCTATAAAACAATATAGGAATCTGTGTAACCGTCAAATGCAGAGCCTGCTTAAGGCAATTGAGCGCCTTAGGCACTTACAAATTTGGCTCCTCTAACTAGATACTATACTTACGGGGCCCGGGGCAAATTTTAAAAAAGCTTATTAGAGCCACCCCAAACTGTTAGCTTAAGGGCGCCCGAGCATTATAACCTAATTATTCCCTATGAATTAGAATACTTTTTATCATTAAAAAAATACATAAAAAAATATAAATAACATACAAACATAACAAATATAATGTAAATAAAAAGTGTTAGGACTTATAAGTGCGTTTTTCTGCAAGATGTCATTAGTAAGTATTTAAAAAAAATTAAATCAACTTTTTCTGTATTTGTATGTTAGATGTACTGCTGGTTTATTTTAATTAGTTTAATATTAAAATTTCAGAAATACCTTAAAACAAACAGAAAAATTAACACTATCTAAAGGTGGATTTAGCCAGCCTTTTGTGTAACGAAATCTAACGTAACGTAATTTAATTTAAAAGCCGGGCTAAATCAACTATCGAACACAGACTGCTATCACTAAACACACAACACATAGAAGTGCCACTCTTGAATAAACGCGAAAACACCCAAGTCCTTCCGGCAGCAGTTTCCTCTAGTATCGCGTACCCGCTGGGGTGAGCAGCACATCACAGCGGGTACTTGATGCAAGAGTGCTAAAGATATGTTTATACAGGGTAAAGTTTACAAATTAAATTATCTTTTAAGTTTTTGTTTGCAGTTTAACGTTAAGATTTATTATTATTATTTGTTAATTATACAGTTAATAATAAAATATCTTATTCTACTTCAAAACGTAGTGCCCCCGTAATCAAGCATGATGATATAACACCTGATTAATTTTATCTGAAATACATTTATGTATTTGGCATAAAAACAGAAATGAATTTGCGGCACGCTTTTTTGTCGGCTTTACACCTCGTTATTACAAAGGAAGCTAAATTTGTATAAAATAATAAAACCAGTAAATAATATTCTGTTATTACAATTGTATATTGTTTATTTGTTTTATTTTTGGAAAAAATAAACATTTTGGTAACAATTTTTATTTTTTTAAGTTGTTTGGGGACAAGGCGCCTATTTCTACGTGGCGCCTAAGGCAATTGCCTTGCCTGCCTAATGGGTAATATGGCCCTGGTCAAATGGCAAATTTTTATGTGTTATATAGGGGTGTCAACACCGTAAAAAAATTCAATCCCAAAAATCCCGGGATCTTAGTAATAAGTTACAAAGAATAAAATTTACTTTTTTATTTATATATTTATTATAATTCTCATAAGCATATAAAGAAATACATTATTTTGTACGCAGTTCAAAAGTGAGGTTATTATACACCGCCGTACAATAATGAAAATACATTGAAATTACATAGCAAGAGTGTTTAGCATAAAATCATCAATCAATTCATGTAAATAACCTTTAACATCAAACCTGAAAAAATGCCACAAACTCGATAATTTCAATGTAAGTTATAGCCGCAATTGGAACTCACCCGGGCCTTGATACAAGAAATGGAATTATTTATTAATGAGGGTAAACGTGGGTACAATGTGCCTACGAATTCTTGAAAACCATTCCTCCAACAAGTGTGAAGTCCAAAACATATCGTTCGTCAGTTTGTTTGTTCCTTTATTTTAAAATGGTTTTAAAAATAATGATTTATATTTTTCGGTTACCCTTGGTCCCGAAAGTCCCAGGATTAGAAAAAGGGCTCGGGATTGACACCTCTATTATAAACATGGATAATAAATCGAAATGACTCCCTTGAAAATGGATTAACAACAGTTTATCACAGTGAAAGTGAAGAAAATGTTTTATTAGCACTTCACGGTGGAGTCCGACTTTAAGTTATATCTAGTTTGGTGCGGGAGAAATTAAAAGGTCAGTAAAATGTCCATATATATAAACTTTTCAAATATTGGCGTTGAGAAACTATTTAATATTTTTGTATTGAGATAATAAAATAATTTTCACATTTAGTATTATTTTACAAGAAGGGCACTTTATTTTAACGATTGTAGGACATTTGACAACTGTCAACTAACTTAAAGCTAACTTCAGCCCGTGACTAAAAATCTAAAAACCACAAAACTAGTCAATGTGTATTTAAAAGGTCACTCAGTGTCATGAAAACATGTACGACATTTTAAAGGTCACCTTAGGTGGGAGTAAAAAAAGTATTTTTATTACATGAAACCTACCTGTGGGAGCAGATAAAACGTTATAGGTAAGTCTATTGCCAGCGCTCGGGCACAAACTCGTCCTCGACTGGTAAAATCTACTTAACTCCTTTGTAATGTATTATACCTACTATTGCGTACATAGCAACGAATGTTGGCCCTACGTTCTGAAGACAAAAAAAAACCGTTCGCTTTTTAACACTTGTAAAACAAACAATTTTATTATTTATTATAAATGCATTCTAAATTAAAAACAATTATTTATTTTATCTGCAAACATGGCTATAGCCACGGGGTTGGCTTAATGGATTTTCATGTAATGGAAAAAATAATACTATTATTTCTATGCATGTTATATAACATAACATTCTCTATGTAATATAATTTAAGAAAAGCTAAAGGTGATCCCCCTAAAGACAAAGACGTTTTTCATTACATTACATGCTTGGTAAACGCGTCCATAGGGTTATGCAATTTTATCTTTTAATTGCGTTAAAATTTTATAATTTCAATAATTTAGTTTTTAACAATTTTAAATGTAGGTTTTAAAAAGTAAAATTGCTTTTACTAATTCTAGTAAGAGAAAAACTTCTTAAAAAAAATGTAATTTTATTTTACATACATTAATTGATAACTCATAAATAAAATATTGTTCTTTGGTTAAAAATGTTAAAACCTATAGAAGTTTATAATACAAAATATATGGTAAAATGGCACTTACGGTAACATGACTTTACTAAATATGTAGATACATTCTAGACTAGTTTTTATAATCCTAAACTTTGATTGCGAATTAGTTATTAGCCATTGATTAAAAACACGCCCTAATTGTTATGAGCACCTATTGAGGTATATTGCATATGTTTACATATGTAAATGTAATACATAAAGGCATTAATATAAAAATCTGTATATACATATAAAACAATAAATAAAATTTTAACAGTACGAAGCCACAATAATAAATGATTGTACATTAAAATGTCCATTATGCCCCTATTGTAATTAATAATCGAGAAGCCTAATCCTAAATCACGTTAATTCTGTGAACTAAACGAAATTAAATTTTGTTCTTTTTTGGCGGTTTCGGTGGCGGGGTGGGAGGCGGTTCATCCACATCCAAATCCATGCAATTATTCTCTTCAGGCCAGTTGATCTGCATCGAAGTCCTTGTTGCCACAGAGTTCCTCTGCGAGTATAGGAAACTGACGTTTTCCGAAGGCGGCGACAAAGGTAGGTTGCTGTAATCCACGTCTCTACTTTTAACCGGCAACGGCGGCGGAATAGCGTCTTCTTCGCTTATACTCGAGTCAGTGGTACCAACTGAATCCCTATTACTGCTATTCCCCGAACTGCTCGCTCCTCTGATAGTTACTGACATGCTGTTGGGTCTCGAGAATTGGCCGCTAGGGGGACGACTTAATCTTTTTTCTTTTTCTACTTCCGCTCTCAGGGGTCTTTTTGGTAATAACTAAAAAATATCGTTAATTAATAATCTCTATAACAGGTGTACTGTGTTTAATAACAACACAAAAGGGTTTTTCCAGCAAAATGGTAGGCGGTTCATAATAATATTAAATGCAAACTCTAAAAACAGCACTATACAGCATGTTTCCTAATAAAAAAAATTAAAGTTCATTTTCTGTCGGTGTCATATTTTTTGTTCTAAATTAGTACCTTTATACACAAAAAATACATATATTGCATTTTTATAAAATCTGACGAAATTAGATTGACAATGACAGAAAATTAACCTTAATTATTTGTATCAAAGTCGCGTGGTGGGACTTATGGGTGTGGACCATATCACGTATTCTTATTAATAGGAATAACTTCTAAATTTGGGGTAATGTTGACAGTCTTGACATAAAATACATTACCTCTTCTGTTAACTCGATTATAGGCGAGCCATTTGACAACGTCGTGCTCGATATGCTCTTGGTATCTTCGGTGTACCACTGGGTGGCGCTCGCTATGATGGGCGGCGAACTGATGTCCGATTTGCTGCTGGACCTGCGTTTATCTTTGGGCGTTTTGGAAGACTTTTTGTACGTTAGAGACGTCGGTCCGATACTTTTTGTCGGTGATGTTATAAGGCTTTTGGAAGAATTGTGGTGTTGGTGTTTACTGAAAGTAGATCAGCACAATTATTTTAATAAACGCAACAAAAAAAGCGCAGTCAACTCGATTTTTTCTATTATATATTTTATATATTTAGTGTCTTAAAACAATCTAGATAAAAGTTTGCCTAAATAACTTTTATCTTCAAGCATTCTATAATTTAAGCTTTATTACTGTCAACGCTTACTACCAAAGTATTTTCTCCCAGGCTGTAAAAATAATTTAGACCAATCAGGTGAAGTTTTGTACAACCTAGTCTAAAAAAACGCGTTGGGATCAATAAAAAAATTAATAACAGCTCTGAAGCTATCTAATTTAACTTTATACTTTTAAAAATTGTTTTATGTATTGTTAAACAAATAAAACTGTGCCTTGAAGATAAAATGTTGTATGCCATTTGACTGAGAAGTGTATTTTTGTGCTTTGCTCAATTGTAATAGTAGATTATGTCATTATGAGGAGAAGTGAGTCTTTTAGAGCTAAGCTCAAAAGATTGCCGCCACGGCAAAGCAAAACTAAAAAACATTAACTTAATATGAATGGCAGTCTGTCAATTACAGATGCTTTCTGCAAAGGAATAGGTGGAGATAATATTCATGAAATAGGGTAAAATTTTTTATATCGATTTATTATCTACGCTTATGTATCTTATTATGGTACCGGGAATATAAAGTTATTATTGTAAATACTAATACAATAATGAATCATTTCTAAGGGTTGCATTGGGGCTAATAATATTAATATTACATTATGTTAGAAAAAGCATGTCATTGATAGTCTGTCATCCATATTAAGTTATTGTTTTTTAGTTTTTGTTGGAGAATTTCTTTTTGTGCTTTGCTCAATTTCTTTGCTTCCTACTATTTTTTTTAAGCGTACACTAATTTTTATATTAAGACTCATAATTAAGTCTATATAGAAATACTTCATATTAATACAAGTTCAAAAGTCAAAATATTATTAAACGCCGTACAGAAATAAAGCTAAAATGTTGTTGAACCTAACCTAAAAATGATGCGACAGAATCTTAAAAAAATATTAAATTAAATGCTTGAAAGCTTATTAATGGCCTCGCACACAATCTAATTTATGCTCGGCGATAACATGTGCATTAATAACTTAAAAATATATATAATGTGAGATATCACTATTTAAAAAAATATACCTAAAACAATTTTTCTATACTTTGAAACTAATTATTTATGAAAAAACAATATTCTGCTCTGTATATCGTTTAAAAACATAAAATTTGCCCATTTTAAACAAGAAAAACATTATACCGTATTTCCACATTATTATACAGTGCCGAGTGCATCCGAACGCCTTGAGAGAGGGGGAGATAATTTGCAGCGGCGACGGCACACCTTTTGAAAAAATGTACATCGCTACTAAGCTTCGTAGCGTTTAGTTTAGTTCTTGTTATAAGAAAGTTTATTAACAGGTTTAAGACAAAATTTAATAAGACTATACTCTGAAAAACGCGGTTTTTGAAAAAATAATTATTTTTATGACGGATATCTTTGAACATCTCAAAATACTGCAGTTTGCAACGGAATTTACTCATAAACCGCGGTATGCTTAAAAAACAAAAATCAATTTTATTCAAAATGTTATCAACAGTAATACAAAATGTAAGATTCTACCTTATAACTTAAAAAAATTAAAGGTATTACATTAAAGCTCGTCCCTAGATCATAAAGGTTATAGGATCTATCTAATAGGGAGCTGTCAAAGTTATTTTTAGGGAAACTGCGTTTTGAAACTGAAAATCTGGACTAAACACCTATGCTTAAACCTATGTATGCTAAAAAGTTCGGTTTGAAATGAACACTGGAATTCGATACGCTTTAATTCGATTTGATCGAAGCGAGTTTTGTTAGTTGATGTGGTTCAGATTGAAGCACCAAACTAAAACTAAAATTAAGTTAAAAAATTGTTTGATTTAAAAATAATTTTTTACAAGAAAAAACTTTTAGTTAAATACAAAACAAATATGTAATGTTTTTAAACATTCGACTAAATTTATTATTTACCGTTAAAAGTGACTATATTTTAAGTATCTAAATTAATTTTAAAAGCAAATTAACCAATAACGCAATACGTTTTAAAAATGCTTAGCGGAGTTTGACTATCACTCAAAGCCAGTGAGTGGGCGACTTGTCACCGTGTCAAATTATTACCCCTCTCCGAATGCTGCTATTATGCGTCAGCTTTATACACCAAAAATGAAATACGGTTTATGGAATTGTCCAAATAAATTTTCAAGTTAATACTTAATGCAGGCCTACAATACTATTTTTTCGATAAGAGTTAGTATACGCATGCAATATCTTTCTACTTAACTATCTTAACTTATTACTAAGAATATTTACCGTTTGTTAATATCTAAAGGATTCCCAAAGAGCCTTAATGTGTTAATCAAAAGAAGGAAAGTAACTTAAAACTAAATTAAGTATAAATAAATAAAATTAATTGGGTAGGATGAGGTGGAGGAGTTAAAAAGTGTTTTTTAGGTGAAAGTCGTATTTCTCGTAAAGGGATTTCCTTGTAAAGCCCGTCTGAAAATATAAGAAAATTAGTAAATAAATACTTTTCTACTTATATACAAGACTATTTACAAAATTTGGAAAGCTTATTACAAATCCCTTTGTTGAAGGCAAATTACAGAAAACTAAGTAGAAAATTATTTTTAATACAAGCAAGCACATGGTACATTAAAAAATAGAACACCAAAATAGCTTTTACAAATTTCGAATATTTTAAAATTATTTTTAAACCTGAAAGCATAATATGCTTTTTAACTATAATAAATTATAATTTATAATACATAATTTTAATGCCTATAAAAATTGTACAACTTTTTGAAACCATATTTTTTTTGTTAATGACTGATATGTTCATAATTCGTTTTACACTGAAATAAAGAAAAATCATTTTATTTTTAGGAAATCCAGAGAATATACGGATTCATCCTCTTAAATGATATTCGGCCATTCCAAGCCCATGGACAGGACACATCAGAAACATGTCTAAATATATTCTTGTTACTTCCTTAAGTTTACTTATTTTTTCTACGAGTATTTATGAGAAGTATTAGCCAAATTTGGCTAATACTTCTCATAAATACTCGTAGAAAAAATAAGTAAACTTAAGGAAGTAATAAGAATATATTTAGACATGTTTTTGATGTGTCCTGTCCATGGGCTTGGAATGGCCGTATTGTAAAACGATGTGTACCAACAGCATTGTAGTCCATCTAAAATTGACTAGCTTACATCTTGACACTGTTTGCAAATATAAGGTGATTCTAATTTTTGACTCATTTTTAACTTATTTGGCATTCTATATTTTTGCAATTATTGTTAGCGGTACGCTACAAAGTTTAAGTGTTTTCTCAATTTAAGTACCTATTGGATTTTTATTTTACACCGTATGCGTTTGATTAGTAAACTATAGGCAACCGGTTAGACGCAATAGACGATACCATTGTTTTAAAAACAATGACGATACCAACCTGTTTAACATGGGCGTAGAAGCGGTAAAGTTAAATGTGGAAGTAAAATGTTTCAGGTTGGCCACTTGGCTTCTGGTTAAACTCGACACTCTGCTACGACCGCCAACAACGTGACTAAATTTAACAAAAACAAAAAAATTACCCCTGTCAACTTTTAAAAAGAACAATTGGTTTAAGAAAATATATTTTTCCAGACAAACCAGACAATTCTATGCCAATTTAACAATATCTAGAAATGGCACCATAAATCTTTTCTTTACTTTCACTTGTATGTTTTCATAGAATCTCAAAATTAAAAACATGCCTAAACATTATAATCTAAATAAAAGGTTTACGTTATTTGACAGAAGTAACTGGTATTCTATATTCAAAATGAAATTTTTATAGTTACAGCTAATTATTGTAATATCTGAACTGTTTGGGAAAAACTAGGTGTAGAAGTAATCAAGTTAAAAAAAACTTGATTTACACTGAAGGTAAAAGAATTCTGAAGAGTTGTGATTTTCAAATTTGTAGTTTTTGTCATGGGCATAAAATTGTCTTTACAATTTTGGGAAGAAATTAAGAATGCTCAATGTAAATTTAATTGTTTGTGTTTCTTTGTAAAAGACACCGGGGTTAATAAAAAGCACAATTATGTTAAACAAAATGCAACAAAAAACGCCCAAATTTACTTAATTTAAATAATAATAATTATAAATCAAATAAATAAACGACATCAAACAAACATAAACGCCACCTACTGTGCTAATTAAGCAGTACTTACTCGTTTGTCAGCGGCATTTCCAGGATGCCTCGATTGTTTTCGCTGATGCTAAAGTGGCGACGCATCTGCACTTCTTGTTCCAGCTTCAAATCACATGTCTAAATAAAAAACAAATTTTAGTACAGGTTTTTAAATGAGAAAACTAAACAAAATTGTCCCAAATTGTAAAACATCCTAGGTAGATTGACATAAAATATATCTGGTGGGGAAATCTAGTAATTATGAGAACTTAATTATTTCAATATAAGTTTTTTTAAAGGGACTGTCTACGTGTCCTACTAGTAGGATTTATAGCCTGTTCGCTAAATATCCGACTATAGTTTATATAATAGGACAAATAGTAGTAAGGCTAAATATCCTACTATTATTCAGAATTCGGCAAAAACAACACTCAAAAGTGAGGTTAGTTTAGGTTTTTACACCATTTGTTTGACTGCAATAATTAAATTATAATGGATTGCAACGTTGGAGAGAAATTCAATTCCTTTTTCGAGATACAGACATTTATAAAGAAGTATGAAGATCAAAACTTTGTCAATTATTATTTGTACGTTGTACGTGAAAAATCCTATTTCCACGTCTGAGGCGGACGTTGCCCTGCGTTTTTTTTCATTAGTTTTATGGGTGTTGGGCTGTTTTGTGCTTTTATTTACTTTTTAATGTAACTGTGGTTACGCAGGTACACTGCATTGTGCCATACCAAACCAACCCAAACTTGACAACCTAACCCAACTGCCCTTAGATATATTATACCTCTATTGCTCAATGGGGAGGGAGGGCCCAATGGGGCGGGGTCGGTTGGGTTGGGTTGTTAAGTTTGGGTTGGTTTGGTATGGCACAATGTAGTGTACCTGCATAACCAAGATGACAGCTAATCATCATAACCTTGGCAATAAAATTTTTTCCCCAATTTTTCCGGTTTTTTTTCGACACTTTAAAATCCTAATCTCTATAATGGAATTAAATGACCACTGATTGATGATTTATTATTAATTAAATTAAGAGTGGATGTGTTATTTTACATTCAATATATATTTAAATAAAAGATTTTGTCCCTCTGTTCTAATATGTTAGAACATATAGAATATAAATGTTTTCATTTATTTAAATAATATTAAGGATGATTAAAATAATGTTTAAATTACAAATTATTTGGTAAAAAACCCAATGTGAATAATCAAAGACAGGTTTTATATTCCGAATAGGGAGCCTTAAGGCTCCCTTTAGTTCTTTTTTTAAACTAAAACTAACACAAACTTAGTTAGCTGGCTTAATTTTTTTCTTATTTGATATCATGGTTTATGAAATACGCTGAATGGTAGGATATTTAGCTTTGGTACTATTTGTCCTATTAGTAGGATATTTAGCGAACTGGCTATACATCCTACTAGTAGGATACGTAGACAGTCAAAACAGATTACTTTAAGGTATAAGCAAAATAACTTACCTTTTTGCCATATTTCTCTTCAACATTAACTTGCATCTCTTGGAAACATTGTTCGAGTCTTTGGTGAAGAAGTTCAATGTCCTTTGATGCCTTGTTTCTATGTATTTGAACGCACAAATCCAAAAGCGGTATCTGATCAGCGATAAGATCCTTTAACTTTCTGATAAGTATTTCGTTTTCCGGAAATAGTTGCTGATAGTTTGACACGAAAAACGCCTCCTCGTAGTTTTTAATTCCGCCCATAACAGCCGCGTCCAAGATGCCAGTCAATTTTAAACTCAGAGGTTTTATGTCCATGTTTTTGTCTTTGTTGTACATTGTTATGAAGTTGGCTAGGTCTCTGTTGTTTTTTTCCATCGCTTCTATGGCGTTTCTCAGCGGGCAGATTTCTTCAACTTTTTCGTGTTTCACGGGGAACCATCGAAGAATACCTGGTAGAGGGTAGGTGGTTTCTATTTCGGTTCTTTCCAACCATAGCGATGCGAATTCGTTTTCGCAGTTTAATTCGGGAATTTTTCTCACGAACGGCCGGGAAAATGTGTATTTTTGTATATTGTTAACGCGGTAGAATCTCACGATTTGATAGGATACCGGTTTGCCTGAAAATCGTTGCTTCTTCTCGTCCATCACTGGGTCGACTTTACATACTTGTAAATCTAAAAAACATTGTTAAAATATTATTAAATTTATCAAACTACACAGGGTGATTACAAATTAAGGTAACAAAAATGAAATGGGGGATTCTTCACAAGATTTGATGGCGAAAAGTTCAGATAGATGTTAGGATTATGTATCTTAGATCTCGAGATACAGGGTGTTTAAAATGCAAAGAAAATTTCGGAAAATTTAAATGTTATACGTAAAGAAGCATCGGGTTTTCGCATCGCGCGCTCGATAGCAATGTGAGAATTCAAAAATTGTCAACAATACATTTAAAACATACAAGCTGCACCATTTTTAAATACACTGCGCGCCAAAATTAACGCATAACAAGTAAAAAAAATCCAACTCTAAAACGCCTTTACCAATCTTTATAAAATTTTGGATAAAAATACTTTAACTTATATCTCAGTTTACGTGTTCAAAGGTTGGGTTGGGTCAGTGCCTACGTGCCTTCCCGAATATTCCAGCGAGCCCCGGACCACTCTCGATCGCTCGAGCGCTGACTCACCGGCGATGATTCATCGGCGATGAGTCATCATTCCGAGATCCAGAGCGGTACTCGATACAGTAATGAATTCGCTGGCCGAGTGGCACTTTGGCTCGCAAGCTAAGCAAATGTATTAACAGGTGATCGTCCACAATGAAATTCGACGTTAAAGTGAAAGTTGCAGTTGCCTAAATTCTCTTGCAAGCTGCAAACTTTGACTTCGACTTTCGTGCCGGCCAAGGGACATGCGCATTGCTTTTGTTTTGATTGTTTGACATTTTCAATGATTTCAATGATTTTCAATGGCGTTGAATTTTGTGTTTGTAGTGTTTTTATTGTGATTAAATACATTGTTCTTGATTTTTTTAAACATACTAAAGTGATTTATTAAAAACAAAATGAATGAAGAGATGATTTTGTTTTGATTGTTTGACATTTTCAATGATTTCTATGATTTTCAATGGCGTTGAATTTTGTGTTTGTAGTGTTTTTATTGTGATTAAATACATTGTTCTTGATTTTTTTAAACAAACTAAAGTGATTTATTAAAAACAAAATGAATGAAGAGGACATTACAGTAGTTTGTAGTTTAAAACACATTGTAATAAAAATGTAACACTAAATAAACTATTTGATTGAGTGTTGTTCATTTTTGTATTTAAAAAATAGCACCAAACAAAAAAAAATAATCCAAATTCTAACCTCACAAAGAACATGATAGTTATTAACGCGCTTGCGTTACACACGACTATGAAGTTACCTATTGTGAATGGTAAATTTCGGCCAGCTAATTCATTACAAATGTAGCTTTACTCATGATACATTGTATCATGGCTTTAATCAATTTACCGTTTTCCCATTTTTTGATATATCAATTTTATGACTTTCATTAAAATTTACAGTAATTGCTTTTTTTTTGCTCACCTTGTAGGCACATTTCTTTTTTTCCAAAGTAAAAAGTTTTGTCATTAAGCTACCTTATCAGAATAAATTGTCGTATTCATTACATGCTTCAGGTCAGTTTAAAATTAAGAAATTAAAATGATATAATAATAGAGGAAATAATTTTTCTTCACGGGGCTATCAAACCGCTACGGCAGTCATCCGAATAAAACCGTTGGGCGTAAGTTTCAAGAAACTCGAAAGGAATGAAACCAAAAAAGTACTAATCAAGAATTCTGGATGAGGCTTGCCAAATTAAAATATTGGGTCATTTGGATTTAAATTTATCCATTACAAAAGTCGCCAGGCTGACGAATATTTCTACTGGTTCTGTGCACAACTTTTTGAAAAAGAATAGTTTTTTTTCGTACAAATGACAAATTCTACAAGAACTTGGAGACGATGATTATGATGGAAGAATTGAATTTTGCGAACTAATGTGTCGGAGAATTGATGAGAACGCTAATTTCATTAAAAATATCTGCTTTTCTGATTAATCTACTTTTTTCCTAAATGGGTTTGTTAACAAACACAATTGTAGATATTGGGATAATGAAAGTCCACATGACTTTATAGAAGGCAATACTCAATTTTTGCGCAACGTTTGGGCGGGAATTTTGAGAAACAAAATTAGAGGCCCGCCTTTTTTTTGAGAAAAATTTAACTGGACAGTTGTATCTCGATCTGCTTAAAAATGAGAGGTGCAATGGAATCGCCAGCAAGGTCTCCTGATTTGACTACCCTGGCCATTTTTCTGTGGGGTCATTTGAAAACTGTAGTATACACTCCACCTAAAAGTATTCAAGAACTGAAGGACCGGATATCACAAGAATGCAGAAGTATTTCCTCGCAAACTTTGGCCCGTGTCCGTGAAGAATTTCAAGACAGACTTTACTATTGTCTAGCGAATAACTGCGAACATTTCTAACAATTCAAAAAGTTAACTTTTAAAAAATAACACATTTAATTTATATCTCAAAAAAAACAAAAAAACCTTTTTACTTTTGGAAAAAATAAATGTACAAGGTAAATTTTGATAGAATAAAGTCATGAAATTGAAATATCAAACATTGGGAAAACTGTAAACTGATTAACAGATATTTCGTCGATTAATAATTTCTGTCTTATTATAATAATTAGGGCACATTTTCTCTTCCAAATCGTGAACCTACAATCCGATTTACTGTACTGTACACCATTAGATAGAGAATTGTATGCCCTTTAAAACCAGATGTCACTTAGTGAGGGTGCCATTTAAAATTCTAAAGTTATGGTGGCTGGGGGCGAGGAGATAGCACTATATAGATTAAATTAAATAATGTAATACCTCTTATATAATTCGACGTATTGTTATATTTTCTTGTTTCTTCAAATTTAAAAGATATTTAAGGTGGTTCGTTTTAAAATGAAAACCCTGTATAATACATAAGTAATATAATACCTGTTTTTGTTTTTTTACCGTTGAGTGGAGACTTTCTCAATAAACACTTTTAATAATTCATAAAGCTGTTTGAATTTAGACGACTTATTTGTTTTATGATTTTTACCTACTGAATTAAAATGTAAGGTACAATTAATATTTACAGGAACTGTATGCAATTTATTTCTTCATTCGGATTTCCACTGTTTATTGGAAAAACGGTAAAACTCAACCCAGGATTACCTCTCGTTTATAACATACGCGTTTGACAGCTGATTATTAAAAGTTGTAGTTTGATAATAACCGTTATTAAATAACGGCCAATGGGGTAGTTAAATTTTTCTGACCTATCAGCCATTCCGGAGAATTTGAAACTAAGGAGCACAATTTAAAATTGTTTATATGCAATACCTTTAATATGAAATATTGTGCACGTAGTCTAAATTTTACATATCTAATAAAAAAATAATATATTTTCCATTATTAGGCCCTTAAAACAATATTTTACTTAATGCGAACGCATCCTAACAAAATGTATCAAAACATAAGTTATTTAGCAGGCTATTGTTCAGTGATTATGTCATTTATTATACAACTGTCATTATTTTATTTCATTAAAATATTAATTATCAGAGTGTTTGGTGACGATTTTGTAAATCAAAATGAGTAAGTAGTATTTTTTTATTAACTTTATTTATTTTATGTTGTTAGTGTAGCGTCCGTCATCAAAAAGATGTAATACTTAATATTTCTTAATGAAGATAAATAATTTTTGACTAAATTATTTATTTTTAAAAACACACATTTTGCCTCTTGTCAGTATATTAAGCTTTTTTAGATATCTCAAGAATCTATCTTTTTTTTTAATTAAACTTTTATGTAGCGTCCGTAAGCAAAAAATGTTTAAGTAATATTTTTTTAGATTTTTCATTTATCTTGTTTTACGGTTAAATTAGACTAAATTAAAAACACACAAATGCTCATTCTAACCTTGTTTAAAGATTTTTCGAGAGATTTTTATACCGGTGGAATATTTTTTACAGATCAAAAGGAGAAGCGCAATAAACAAAACAGAATTGCCGCGCAACGTTATCGAGAAAAAATTAAAAGTGACGAAATTACAAGAATTGCACTTTTAAAAAAAGATGCCGAAAATAAAAAAGTTGAAAGAGTAAAGAAAAAAGAAAAGTTGCAATTTGATAGTCATTTACGAAAAATTGAGAAAAAAGTTACTGAAAGAATGAGGCGTTACATCAAAGATTAAACAAATGAGACAAAATATTGAGCAGTCTTATAGTCCTTACAGATGTCCTCAAACGTTGGGTAAAGCTTTAAAAAAAGTTAAAAATAATATTATGTTACCAGGAAGTCCTCGTAAAAGAAAAATTATAGTGCAGAAGTTCAGCATCTTATAATGACGATTAAGGAGGCATTTGCACTATTTAAGCAAGAATTCCCAGATACAAACATTCAGATTACTAAATTTTACCAGTTGCGCCCAAAGCACGTTCTGTTATCATCACAAATGCCGCATAACGTGTGTGTATGTCGCTATCACGCAAATTATAATTTTTTAATTGAGGCAATACAAAATAATATTTTGAAGTTTCCGAAAAGCAGTACTGATTTTCTGAAACAAATGTGTTGCAATATAGATGAACAGTGTATGACAAAAACTTGTGAGAATTGCGATTATGACATTTCATATGCTTTGATTCCAGTTAAATATATATTTGATTTGGACGACATACTTGTTAAGTACAAGCAGTGGAAAGATAATGTCCAAGTTACAGAAGCTACGCTTTTTTCACTGATCAAAACGCTAGAGAGCCAACTTAAAGTGTTTAAAACACACTGTTTTGTTAAAAGGGTGCAAGAACGATATTTTGATGAACAAAAGGTTCATCTTGCTGAAGATAAAGTTCTTGTAGTGCAAATTGACTTTGCTAAGAACTACTCGCTAGTGTCTCAAAATCGGCACACTGGTGCCACAAACAAGTAATAATATCTACTTGTGTTGTCTGGACACCACAGCAGACCTTTTCTATTGCCATTATAAGCGACTACATTTGAACTATCCCCATCTATTACAACATTTTTGCAAAACAGTGATCTTTTCAGACGGCTGCGCTGCCCAATTTAAAAATTTCAAATTTGTGTTACTATGATATTGAAATATTGAGCTGTCAAATGCCCATGACTTCTTTGAATGTGCCAAAGGGCAATTATCTACTATCAACTTAATATATGTTTGTGCTGAGGATGTTAAAAATATAAAAGAGATGCTGGATGAAAGGTGGGCTAATGTTAAGAAGATTGCTTTTATCCAATCAAAACACTATTTTATGAAATTAAGCTCAAATTCGTTGCAAACCGCTCAAACTAGAAATTCCAGTTACGAATCGTGTGTTGTTGTATTTAAGTAGTGGCATATTTTACTGTTAAATGTGGAATTTATTTGTTTAGTGAAGTTTTTGGTTGTTTATTTGAATTAAATTGAAAAATAAAAGATTAGCAATTTGGTGGAACTTTTGTAGCGTCCGTCATGTAGCGTCCATCATCACATATTTCATGTACTTATATATTATCTATTAAACTAAATACACAAAAAAAATAAAAAAATATTTATCTAGTCCAATGCTTAATATATTATAATAAAGTTTAAATTTAATCTCTTATCAATTTGCTAATATTCAGGTGAAACATAAAATAAATTTATTCCACTTCCATTTTTTGTAGCGTCCGTCATCTAAGTTTAAAAAGTAAAATCTTGGAATCCCTAAATGTCACATAATTATTTTATATGTTATTTTTTTTACCTCATCTCCACTTTTAATTTTTAATATTAGCTTTAAAATCAGTTTTAGTTTTTGGGCATTTTTTTTTAAATATTTGACAAGATTTTGGTCAAATGGTAGCGTCCGTCATCATGAAATGGCTGCTATACTTTTTATGGTTTTATTCAAGGCGTTTTGTAATATTAAACATTTCTGTGAAATCAGAATTTCACAACATTCTAAGATTTCTATTAGTTGAAAATTACCCAGTTGTCAAGTTGTCTTGTTAATGATTTCATTCGGTTACACAGTGTTTGTCTGTGTTCGGTTATGTCAGAAAATACCCGAAGAGGTTATGTACAAATACTGTCACTGTCAGTTGAGTGAAAGAAGAAGAAGAGGAGGTTAAATAAAATTCTGAAATTAAAAGTTTTATTGATAGGTTTACAGTGTTTACTTTACACATTGAAACACCGTGTGAAACCTAATAAAATGTAATAAATAGGTACCTAATAACTGTCTAAAGCAGAGTTTAATATATTTCATAGAAAAAAGTGGCAAAATAAAGCTGAAAATGAATGAAATAAATTTACAAAAAATAACAGTAAATGTAAGTTATGATATTTGTGTATAGTTTTTATAAAACTTGCATTCCTGATGATGAGCATCAAAACCTTTTGTAAGATTAAAAAAATGTATGACAAACTTTTGGAGTGTTCGAAGATACTATGCTCTAGAGTACATTTTTGTACTTTTCGACAATTCTGGTTTAAATATTGCTGCAATAACGTACATGGTAGGTAAAGATAGTGCAGGGTCTACAAATAGACATTTTGATTAAAATTATTCAAACAGATGGTCACCAAATTCATTAAGTACCTATCTTCCTTATTATGAGATATCATATTACTGTTTGATATTTTAAAGTCCAAGATATATCTAAAAGAATATAAAGAACTAGGCATTATACTAATGAAATGCATTTACGACAAAATATGATTATAATTATAGGTACTTATTTTATTTGTTTAAAAGCTCCAATGTTCAATGTAACCAACCATTCCAGAAGATTCCTCTGCTTTGGAGTCCGTTATCAATAATATCAATTGCAAATAACATAACAATAACATTGATTTTCAATAACGCTGTGTCTAGTCTCACGCTAGCGTGAACGCAATTTTATTCTTATTCTCACGCTAACGTGAACGCAATTTAATTTTTATTCTCAGGCTAACGTCAAAATAATTTTAATTTTATTTTCACGTTAACTTCGTATATATAAATACAGCCTTTTGGTTTTTGGTTAAACCTAATGCTGCCAACTTTGCCCAGGGGCGGTTTTAGACATCTACTGAGGGGGGGGGCGAAAATAGAAAAAGCCCATGTGTAGTGGACATAATTCTGCCAGCATTATTTTATTTAATTTTACTTTTTAGGTGTCGTGTCATTTGATTTAAATATTATTTGATTATGTAAATGTAATAAAATTTACTAATAATAAAATCGAGACTCTTTTACTGCAGCCAAACCAACCCAAACTCAACAACACATCCCAACCGACCCCGCCCCATTGGGCCCCCCGCCCCATTGAGCAAAAAACCCAACTAAAATGGGAAAAATGAACGATTTTCCAATAGTTAGTTTTAACTCATCATTATTGTTGTTTTTGTCCATGGCAATACATTTTACGTACACTTGTAACCGCCTGCCAACGTTTAAAAAACCTCAAAACCGCGAAAATTAGATTCACAGAACAAATTAGATTCTTGAAAGATTCTTAGGTTATGTTACCTTTAGTGACGTCACCGCGTGAGAATAAGAATAAAATTGCGTTCACGCTAGCGTGAGACTAGACACAGCGTTTCAATAATCTAAATTTAAAAAAACATAACCCGAAAAAAAGAAACGTAAAAAATTCAATTCTTCTTCTTCTTCTTAATTAAAATTATAGATCAAGTGGTTTTAAAACTAAAATATTAGAACGTGGCGCCATCTATCGTAAGAATCTTAAACTAAACACACTGGCAACCATAGAAAAAGCTGGCAACGTTGTCAATAGCCTAGTGACATAATTAGGAGATTTTTTTTGTAAATATCTCGAAAACAGTAAACTCAATTTAAATTCCGATTTCACAGAAATGTTTAAAATTACAAAACGCCTTGAATAAAACCATAAAAAGTATAGGTCAGAAAAAATTTAACTACCCCATTGGTAGCGCTACTAGCGATGCTTTTCCGATCTTATTGTCAAAATTTATAACCCAACTGCCTTGCTTCTCTTAAGAAGCAGTTATTGTGCCTTTATCGATTATCATCTTTTTATGTATGCAATCGATAAAGGCACAATAACTCAAGAACGGCGAATCGTATTAAAAAGTTGCCAGATATAAAAAAAGTTGCAGTTATGAATAAGCATTTTGCGAATTATTTCATAAAATTCATTGGCGTGGCAGACATTTTAATTGGGTTTGGGGTAAATCAATTCCGTAAAATAACAACACCCTGTATATTTAATGCAAAGTTAGTCCCAGATTATTGTAGAACATGTTATTCCAAATTTGTGATTAATACCTAGAGTTTTCTGAGATAAGATATAAAATTGAGGCGTGGAAGTACCAAAGGAGGTATGTATGTGCCATTTTATCTTAAAAAAAAATGACATATACCCCCATTTTAATTTTCTTTGCACCTTGCATCCCATAATCTAAAATACTTAACCCTATTTTAGTTTTTTACCTTAATTTGGAATCACCCTGTACACAAAATAAACAAATCATTTAACCGATTTTATATTACTCAAAAACTATCATAAATAGAAACATATTGTATATAAATATAGATTACACATTAAAAAAGTAAAAGTGAAATTATTATATTATATATTATAAGATTTACTTACATTGTTTTCCAGAATTCTTGATGCCTTCACTGGGAGTCCCAGTGGATTTTAACGACTCAGCTTTTGGAAAAACATTAGAAATCCTCGTGTGAAAATCGACCAGCCTTTCGTACTCTTTTCCGCGGAAAATGAACACTTTATTGCGCAGGAACTTGGGGAATCCCAGGCCGTAATAAGCCACTCGAAAATACTCGGGGTCGGGCCGAACGTTCTTCATTATGTTGTCATAGAAACGCGACATTCTCAAGTGGAGTTCGCTAAGTTTTTCGTAGTCAAAGGTTTCGCTTTCGCACTGTTGTGCTAGTTCTTGGCATTTGTCTATTGCACATTCCCACATCTTAAAAAAATGGACAAAAATGGCAAATATATAAATCATAAGTAAGTTGATTAATATGGCAGTTCGGCTACTATTAAAAAGGTGTACTTACCTCTCAAACTTCGATAAAATAAACCGTTTCCGAGATATTCGAAATTACAATAATTGTTATATCGCATTAAAGGACTAGAAGGTATATGATAACAAAATTTTAAATTGAAAAAAAAAACACAATTGTTTTAATGTGACGGTCAGGGCAAAAAGTCCCGATGCTCATGGAATGCCCTTTTTAGTTTTTTCAATTAATCCTTTTAAATAATGCGATATAACAATTATTGAGAGGTACCTACACATTTTTAATAGTAACCGAACTGAGTAATCGAAAAATTGCATCAAATGGTATAAAAACCTAACCTCAAAGTTTGTATGGGACAATAAGCTTAAAGCAACCCCCGTTTCTACGACACTGTGTTCACTCAAACAATTATAATTATGTGTGAATATGTGTTTTGGTAGTAAGTGACTGTTCGCAAAATATCACCTTTCCAAGACTACCATAGTAGAGGTTATATTAAAAAACTGATATGATAAGTAACAATTTATCACCCTGTATCTTGGAAACATAAGTAATTGGGAAAAATATTTATTTGGGTCTAAGACTTATTTTTATTGTTAAATCTTTTCCTAAATTTATGCAAATAAGTTTAGGGACACCTTGTATAATATATAATATATAATATATAATATATAATATATAATATATAATATATAATATATAATATATAATATATAATATATAATATATAATATATAATATATAATATATAATATATAATATATAATATATAATATATAATATATAATATATAATATATAATATATAGTATATAATATATAAATATAATTTATATTATATATTATATAGGCCATAAACTGTCCAAATGTGCCCTAAAACTATTTAGAAAATTGCCCCATTTGTCTAAAATGTTTAAAACTTAATATCTTAGAACTGTCCAAAATGTCATAAATCTCAAACAAAACTATTTTAGAATTTGCTCATAAACAAGCAAAGTAACAAAAATAAAAAATACCTTCAGGGATAAATATGCAAACAGGTATAGTTGTATCAAAGTTGCATATATACAGTATGTACATGGATTGAGTTTCAAATAGAGATATTTTTATCTTTATTTTTATTTTTATCAGAAAAATTAACTTTTAATGCTTGTCTTTAAACCCTTAAAACTCATTTTGTTTTTGCTCCAACTTTTACAGTTAATTTCCTACTTACATTATAATTTGGTTTATAATTTATAAACCAAATTTGGACTTGGACAAGATTTTATTTAAAATTTGAAGGCATAAAAGTACATACTACAGATATTGTTGATTTTGAAGCAAAAATCTAATTTTATGAAACTGGAAACCTATGGTAATAAATAAATTAACTAGTTCAGTTAATTTTCCACTCATATTTTTATACCAACTTTTGGCAACATTTTATTTAAAATTAGTAAAACTATCCGGACACAAATAATTTAATTGAAAGAAAAAAAATTTAAACACCCCAAATTAGCGCAAATTTTAACCCTGAAACTAAATTTGTTATAACTTCTTTGAAGTTCTTCTATCGAGATCGACCGAATAGCATTGGAAGTTCTAATTTTTAGCTGTTCTGCATCATTTTCTAACGGTTCTGAATAAACCATTTGTTTCAACCATCCCAAAAAAACATAATAGTAAGTCTGGACTTAGTGGAGGCCAAAAAATTGAGCCATTCCTCCCCATCCATTTTTCTCCAAACTTCTCTGCAAGCCAATTGAGAACGATACGAAAATAGTGTGTATTGAAGTACATTGAATTATAATAATTTAATGGCAGTTCATCTAATTTGGGATTAAACTACACCATTGGTGGTAAATGTGGATCCATCAGAAAATACAAAGATTTATTAAAATTTCTTTGATTTAAATTTTTATCTCCCAATCCTCAAACAAAAATATAAACGTTTGTGTGATAAACGGGAAGATTCCGCAGAATAATGTAATGCCAGAAGTCCTCTTTCAGTTTTTGTTCAAAATGAAGCCAGTTTCTAAAAAAAATTCTAACCGCCACATGAGAAACTCTAATTTCTGTTTTTTTCACGAAATTATTTCAGTTTTAGTAGTAGCAAATTAAAGTACAGTGACGTTTGAAAAATTAAATTTGCTTACTTGTGGCATTTACAATTTTTAATAATTTGGTATAAAAATGTATGGGAAATGAACTGTAAAAGTTGGAGTAAAAATGAGTTTAACCCTTTCGGAGCCAAATTTAAATTACTGAAAAAAAATTTTTTTTTCGTTATAGTTATTATTTTTATATTTTATTATAGTTATTATTTTGAGATATTTTTGAAAAAAAAAAATGTTTTCATTATTTTTTTTCATAATATGACATGTCCACTGGAATGGACAAAGTTACTTTAGAGAGGTCAAGTAATTATACTGTCATCTGCTGTGTTTTATGTAGAGATGGGAATCGGAAAGTTTCTATTTTAAGGAAACTTTCCGTTTTGGAAAGTTTCCAATTGGGAATTTATTTTCATTTTGAAAGTTTCTTTTAAGCTACCGGAAACATTCCTTGGAAACTTTCCTTGTTTTTTTCATTTAAATGTCAATTGTTTAACCGCTGATTTTCGTTAAGGCCATGATACAAGGCCAAGAAACTTTGAATAAGAATTTATTGTGTGTTAATTTAAAGCAGAAGAAGAAGTATAAATAATGTAACTCATGTTACATAACCTCAATGAAGCCGGATTATTCAGCATCATCACAAAAAACTAAACTAAAATACAGCAATAACACTTTTATTTACCTGTTTGGTTTTAAAAAAATCCTATTTTGTGTTTTTTACTTTTGCTATTTTTTTATGTGCAATGGTAGTCACTACTAGTCAGAAATGTTAATTTTATTTTGCCTGTAGTTTTTTCTTTCATATTTTATCAGTCAAAGCTGCAATACTATTTTTAGTATCTTTTACTTTTCAATATTCCTATATATTAGTTAATTTGTCCCTTTTAATTTTTTTTACGTAATATCTAGGATTTACTAGCAGTGAATTTCTAATAGTAAATATTTTATTTTTATTTTGTAGGTTTCAGTATACAATAGGAATATTTCAAAGTAAAAGATACTAAAAATAGTATTGCAGTTACATTCTTATAAACATTTTTTTTTTAAATTTTTTTTCTTAATAAAATTTAACAAAAAGTTAATGTGTTATATATTTTTGCAAATCCCTGGCATAAAAAAAAATATTTTCGCAATAAAAATTTTTTTTTTGAAACTTTCGGAAAATTTCGGGAATTTTCGATGGAAAGTTTCCGGGAATTTTCGTCAAATGGGAATTTTCCCATCTCTAGTCTTATGTCTAGTCCGCTATAATGGACAACATGTTTTTGAGACAAAATATTTAATATTTAAAAATATAAATGGTGTTAAAAAAAATGTCCACTCCAGTGGACATAGCGTACGAAAGGGTTAAAGGATTTGAAGACACAATATATGATGAAATTTCATATTTTTATGTTATTTATTTGTGATATACATGGTGTTTTACTAAAGATCAATTAAAATTATCATTAATAATCATTTTTTATAAATTCCTGATGTATACAATACTTGTAAATATTTAATTTATTGTTACTTATATTGTACATTTAATTGTTATAAATTAATTTTATCGCGTTTAGAAGTAAATGGTAGAATGACTTTAAACAGGTCAATGTTTGAGTCTTGATATCATTGAATAGGCTCGACTAACGTAAATCTATTACACCTTTTTTGTAGAGTAAATTTTTCTTAAAATAATTTTCTTAAAAAATATTAGTGTTAGTTTGGACGAGTTATAAAAATTCAGTTTGATTTTAATATTAAGAGTTTATTTTTTTAAAACTATTTGGAAAAAGTACAACCTCAAAGGGCGGAATTTTATTAAAACATTAAATGTTTTAATTTATTCTTACATTCAACCATGCTTATTAGGCATAAAACCTTACCTTTCCTCGATTGAAATTGTCAATAATAATATAGTATAGAGTCTCCTTTAACTCTCTATGAGTTTTGCACTGGTCATACTTTGAATTTGACAACAAAGTCGACAATTTTTCGTAAGACCAATCCAATAATTTTGTGTGTTCAATTAAAGTAAACGCAGCCTCCGTGTAGTTGTCACAATCTAGATGAAGCTCATACAACTTGTTTAGGTATTTTATGTACATTTCACGTTTGTTTATTTCTGCATAGAAATCCTTAAAAAGAAAAAGAATTTTAAAACCTTTGTTTTATAAAAAATGTAATGTAATTTACTAACCAATAAATTTACAGTACAACTCATAGTATTCTCCTTGTTCTCATCACCAACAATATTTCTGTACTCCAACAAATTTTCCATTAATTTCGTCACAATTTCGACAAACTTGATTCCTTCTTCACACAACGTCATATGTTGCTTGCAATGATGAATCATAATCTCGTGGAATAGTTGCATATAATTTGCATCACCCCTAACACCAAATAAAGTGTCCAACTTGTGAATCATTTGCTTTTCAAAGTCGCTGAAAGAACCTTTTATGTGCGAAGAATCGCGTTTTGTGTCGCCAAAACTTTCGATTTCGTATTTGGAGGAGTAATATTCGCATTGCATCATGTCAAAGAATATTGGAATTGTTGCTTTTCTTAGCTCTGTCTCTGGGATTAAAGTCATTTCAAGGATAAGTTCTACCAAAGCTGGGACAAACTGTATCTTGTTTTGACCTAAAATTAATTATGTTGTCATTATTTAAATGCAGTTTTTATAGTTTAGAATTTTAAATTAATGAATTTTATGTAATAGACTTTGTTGGCACAATGAAATATTTTTACCTAAATTGAACCACATAGATCTTATTTCGAACCCAGTCTCTCTCCTCATATCATTGTACCTATTGATAATTCTCGCTCTTTTGCTGTACGAGAACCTCTCCAATTGCAAAGCTTTTTGCGTCATGAACGCGATCGCGCAGTGGAAAAAGTTATTCCACGCATCGTGCTCGAACTTTTGGAAGAAGCGATCTCTGATCGTGTGCGAAAAGAACCTCAGAGACTTTAAAATAATACTGTTTTGCAGCATGATCATCTCCGACCAGTCCTCAGGAAAGATCGAGTTGTTCACGAGCTCTTTAAATACGACTAAGATCTCCATTAGAAAGTCGAGTATATCGTAGGAGGTTGTGAAACTGTTGACGTACTCGCTGTAGTGGTCTTCGGTCATTTGACGGAAGAGGTCGATCATTACGGCCACCAGGTTGCCCTGAAATTGTGCACATTGACAAACATGGGGTATTGAACGTTTTTTGTTTAATGGTAACTTTTTGAAATGAGAAGTACCCGATCAATTTTTGAGATTTTTTTAATTTATAATTAAAACATAGCTTATGGCAGCCATTATAGAATGTTATGTTCGAAAAATTATGTTAATGAGGTGGTGATAATTTTTACGGAAGCCTTAGACAAAAGTTGGCATTCACTCTTTCCACAAGATTTACTTGATCTTCTGTTTTATCGCGGCCTTCAACTCTTCCAGTGTTCTGGGTGTGTGGTTGTAAACAGGGGCCTTATAAGAAGTCTCATTTTGATAAGTCTGGCCAGCTAGGGAGCCACATTACATGATCAAATCGGAAAATGAGTCGATTTGGAAACAAACTTGCATCCGTAAATTTTTCGAAAATAAAATTTATTAATGGCATGCCATAAGCTATATTTTCATAATAAATAATTTTTTGTTTATCAAAAATTGATCGTGTACTTCTCATTTCAAAATGCGCCGCACCCTGTATTTACAATGTAATTTTGGTTTGATAACCAATTGATGGCTTATTTTATTATTAAAAGTAGTTTTTTAGTAATTTAGTATTGATGAATAAATATGCTATTTGTTAAATTTCAAAGTGCTGTTACACGAACAATTTTTACCCAATTTTAGTAAAATTTACTGAATTTGTAGCTTTATCAGATAAAGTTTATCTACTAATTTAATCGTTTTTAATTAGCAATGACACGCCGCGTCATGTCAAAATTGGTAGAGATCGCGGTCTAAGACCGTAGAAGAGATATTTTAAAAACAATATTTAACAAAAAAGCATATACTCAAAAACTACATTTTATGTGTAAAGAAAAATGCCTAAATTGCATAAAATAAAACAAAACATATGTTGATATCAAATTAATCAAATTAATTAAAACCATTAAAATTTTACAAATTTGAAAATATTTTTAAAGATACTATTACAGCTAAACATAAGCATGATTATTACCCTTGCAGAAAAGCTTAAAGCTACTTTATAGCTGAATACTCACTTGGAATAAAAATGTACTAATATCCAATTTCTATTAAAAAATAAGATAAATTAATATTTTTAGCCTTTTATATAACGCACCAGTTAAAAAGGTAAAATGAAAATATTAGTAAACCCAGAAACCTTCATTAAAATGTTTAAATTTTAATTAATTTAGTTTGTTATTTCAAAATCAACTTACCCCATGTGGATTATCTTTTTCCATTTTAATGTGGCTCTGTATAATCGTTCTTAAATCGGTTTTTATTATTTCATGCAAGTCATTTGTGGTCGGTCCAATATCCTTTCTAAACAGTAGCTCCATAATATCACTCATTATTTTTATACAAAGTTCAACCTAAATAAAAATATTTCTTAGTAAAATTATTACATTTAAATAAAACACAAATAAAGTGCTATAAAATTTGTACATCTGTGAAGAATTTTGTAAAAAATAAAAAGTAATTGTATACAATTAATGAAACACAAATTTTGACTGAGAAATTGCAGATATTGCTATTCTACTTAAAAACCAAGCTTGATTGGCCAAACCAACACCAAAAATAAAAAATAGATGGGTTTTTAACAAAACATAGTAAGCAACAAATTTTACAATATATTTCTTTTAAAAAATAAACACATTAAATTTGTTTATAACAACAGAGCTATTATTATTATTTTTGCAGCGCGCTGTGTATTTTCTAAACTGAAATATAACACATCTAACATTGTAATGGAAGGAAAATGGAGAATGCAGCTGCAGCGACTAGAAAGTTAACATAATATTATTATATATTTTCTAACAGTTTGTGTCAAAAAATTAAAACTTTAAACCATAAACTTTGTTATTATAAAGGAATTTTAAAATTTTATTTTTGAAACTTTGGAAAATTGTTTGTCTCAATTTATATAAATAGTTTTAAAATATTAACATAACAAAAATAAGGTTCAAATTTAAAACCCTACTACTCGTCAAAAAAAAACTGTAAATATTGTATACATAAAAATGTTATTATAAAATAAACAACATTGTATACCATTAGTGCACCCTGTATATAAATTTAATTAATTTCTTCGTTTTTGGGTATAAAATAATGATTGTACTACCTACATAAATAAAAATTTTCATACAAATAAGACTAGCATACATGTATGTCATACATGCAGCGCGTTGATGTTTGCTAGTAAGTACGAGTAGAAATTATCCAAATAGGTATCAGTCTTTTCATTGTTCGTTTTTACTATTTTGCGCATTTATACACTGAGAAAACATGGGACAAATAAACTGTGTAGCTAATACCTTTTATTAATAGTGAATATATTGTTTATTACCTCTAAATAGTCGAAATAATAACGATAAATTTACTTTAGTAAAACTTTATGCGTCAGGAATAATAGGATAAATAAACAATGCTTCTGTCCCATATTTAATTATTCTTTTTATTTGGGAACCATAAACTTTTTTCTCAGTGTATATTTAAAATATGATATTTACATTCTTAACCAAAAAATTTTAATAAAAGGCACGTAGAAGAAACAGGTTAATTTTTGTTCAATTTTTAAATACTTTTAACCTTATAATATGAATAGGCTTTTAAAAATGTAGATTTTGCGAGAGTTTAATATTTTCTCACTAGTTTACTTTGGCTTGTTCAATTAAATTTTAAAAACATATCCTAATACTAATATAGTAGAAAATATTAATTAATAATCTTAAAATCTGAATTAAGCAACGTTTGCTACTTACAAAGTTTCCTTAAAAACCCCTTAAAAGGTTAAAAAAAACCTAAGGATTTAAATAATTGACCAATCGCGCTTAGGCCGTTAATGTTACGTTGGGGCACTGTTTTCACCTCTTCCGAATATCCGACATGTTGGTTCACGCAGTGCGCAGTCGTCCCGAGCAGCTGAGCCACTTTGGCCACCGATCTGTTTTGCCTCCTGCCATCTTGTCCCGTCGCAACACCCTATAATACACCCATTGCACCTCTACACTACCATTTTCAATTCAAATTCAATAATTATAAAGAGAGTAAAAGGGGGCACAGTAAAATAAATTATAATAAAAAACAACAACCACTACATAATGTCCAAAATAGCTCACAAAGTCATAGAGTTACCAACAATTTTAGTTTTACTATGATTTCATTTTAGTATAATAAAGGTGGAAAGTACCCACAATATAAAACATCAAATAACTGTTAATCAAGTTAGCTTCTAAAAATTATGTTACACTAGCTTGGTAATTTTTGTTGTTGAGTTGCCCAATAATGTAAGCAAAACTAGTTTAGTTGTATTACATGTATATTTTTCAAATCTGTAATAGTATATTGAAGAACTAATGGACGAGTGCGACAAAAGGTCTTATGACATGAGTTATTTATGCTATTTTATCTATTTTGCAAAAATTCATTAAAAAAAATTAATTTTATACCTAAATTTAATTTCGTCGAATTTTACTTTAGAGAGTTGGTATCACAGTAATTGGTTTGACAGTTAATGTCAAAATCGATTCGCCATGCCGTCCTTAATTTACTTATTTACAATAAGCGGCTGTTAATGTTAAAGAAGAAAAAAAGGTTTTTCTTTGGTGTTAAACAAAATTTATTGCCAGAAAAGTCTCTTAATTACTATAAAAATCATATAAATATTATAACCAATATGCAAAATATTATGCCAACCTATAAAATCAAAATTTTGGGTGGGATAAAGTATCTCATTACAGCACTAAAAGCGGTGTTATAATGAAGTCATTATGAACGCAAAATAGATAAACGTACAAATGCTATGCTGGAACAACGTTGTAAGTGTCAAAAATGAGTTTTGTGGACAATCTCGAAAAAATTTATGTCTTTTGTTGCTTTTAAACGTTTAATTTAATTCTGACGTTTACATTAAAAGTCAATCACACTGTAGCGTCGTCATGGTGGCAACTGGCAAGAGATAATGAAACATTTCTTCTGATAACAGGGAGGAATTCAAAATATATACGCGGGAAGGAATAAGATTGTTCACAGCGGGAGAAATGAATGTCATTAATTATTAACAATTGCGAATACAATCGGCGCATTATTAACCCCTTGACAAAAAAATTATTCCCTAAACTAACAGCATTTTGTCAAATTTTGCCAAGACACTTACAACGTTATTCCAGCATAACAAACACATATTTGTGTTTTTAATTTAATATTTGTGCGTTGAAATTTAATTATTTAAAGCATTTTCCTTTTTTATAGTTAAGTTAAGTAGCCAAATAAATCCATATTCTTTTCGGTTATTGGCAGTTTGGCAACTGAACGACAAAACATTCATAAGTTGGTAACGGCGATAGACTTCTCAGTTTTGAAATAACTGTTACAGGTATATTTAGTTAACGATTTGACATAAGGTCATATTTGAGCCAATAGAAAGCTAGATCTTGTACTAAATATCCCGTGAACGAAACCTGCTATAGCAGTTGTCTAATTGACAGAAATGGTTTAAATAACATATACAAGGTGTCCCCAAATTGGCGCCCTAAAGGGTAAAGGTGAATTATTCTTGAAATTCCAAGGCGAATTTTCCCGTACTATTTTCTCGAATTCCCAAATTTGTAGGAGTTATTTTATTTTAAGGCCGCCAATGGAAGCACAGTGTTTCTGTTCTATCGGACGAGCCCCGCCGTCGTTGAATCAGCGCTTGCGACAACACGCACCGAGTTTGTTTTTGTTTACTTTATCCCAGTGATAACATATCAGCGCCTTTAGTAAACAAAAAAATATGACAAAAGCTCTCACTGGTGGCTTTAAAAATACAATAACTCCTAGTTTTTGTGAATTCCAAAAAAACGCTACAGAAAAATTTGTCTTGGACGCTTGCGACAACACGCACCGAATTTGTTTTTGTTTACTTTATTCCTATAATAAAATATCAGCTTCTTTTTAAACAAAAAAATATCACAAAAACTTGCTTTCAGAGGTGGCTTTAAAAATTAAATTACTCCTGGATTTTGCGAATTACAAAAAACGGTACAGAAAAACTTGACTTGGAATTTCAAGAGGAATTTACCTTACCCTTTGGGGCGCAAATTTTAGTACAATATAAATGTATTTAATAGATGAATTATTTTTGTGAGCTTTTTGGACAAACAAAACATTAATAAATGGTAGTTGAAAAAAGTTAGATGTTTTATTAATCTTTCAACGTTGAATTAACTGAAACATAACCTTACACCACATTAATAACATATAACATACAAAGGAAACCATGCTTAATGACATGCCCAGATGGGGGTTAATATTTATAATTAAGTATTATTTATAACTATATACTATTATGCAAAATATATATTTTTAGACAAAAAAACAAATATGCCAAAGACATACCGAGTGATTCACATAACTTATTCATTAGAGGTTTATAGAGAAGTAAATCTGAAATTTGGGTTGCAGCTATGATAGCTATAATAGCGCGATGTATTTTCCTAAAATATTTTCAATGGGCTGTCACCTAAAGGTTTAACCGAAAGTGACAGGAGCCATTAATAGTATTCCAAAATGTTAGACAGGGTGTTTGGTATTTCCGTTTATTTTTGCCACTAATTAAATAACTTGGCGGTACACTTTAAATGCCAATAATATTCTTATTTCAAATGGAATTACCATAACATTTTAAAACCATTCGACGGGATTGATATGTTGTAGCATACACTATGGCTAAAATAAATATTTACCTTTAAAAATGTGAAAAAACGCTTATTCAACTCGACCGGAAGTGACAGCGCATTGAACCAAAAACCAAAATTTCAGATTGATGTTTTTTAGCCCTCTATAAACACCTAATGTCAATCACCCTGTATATCTAAAATATTTTATAATTTTTACAATAATTTTATTTTCTATAATAGATTTAAATTAAAATTATGGAAAATAATCCAAATTGATATATAATTGTTTTTATTTTTATATTGTAAAGATTTTTATTCTGTTATTGTGCAGAAATAAAAATAATTTAAAAAGAAACATTAACATAAAATTAATTTGAACTATAACTATAATTCTTATGACCTTATAAGGTACCTAAACAAATATTAGAAATATTCCCCAACACCAAAACAAAACACAAAGTGCTTAATAGCAGGGGGGTGAAACTAATATACGAATATGCGCAACAAGCGCCTCCCGAGCAACGTTGCCATATTTTCTTTTTGTGGCTTAAGTCATCTTTTTTATTAATTATTTTAATTGTCAGTTTTGACATCTGTCAACAATATAAAGAATATTAATAACGGTAAAGATCTATTTCTAAGCTTTTAAGTATTTTTTGAGTTTTTTCATCTGTATTGGTTTCAGTGGCGGCTCGTGACCTAAAAAATCTGGGGTTGCACCCATATGTATAGGTGTAGATATTACAAGAGATGTGCAAAACCAAGATCGCTTTAAAAAATAAATTGGGTCATAAAAATTTAAATTATAAAAATATAAAATTTAAATTTAAAATATTAATTACTATTAGAGTTTTAAGTTAACATATTGTTTATTATATATGTATATCTAAATTAAATTTTCTAGTAAAAGACCGGCTTTTACTGGACACACATTGAACGATGTTTAAATTTGTTGTAGGTCTTCCAAGCCTCTTTATATCGATCGACCGACTACCGAACGGATTTTCTAATAAACTTTTAACTGAATTAATCATTATTATTATAGGAAATACATACAAACAATAATAAAAACGCAGCGGAAATGTTAACGCGGCCCGGCAAAAATACGTAACACGATTCACAGTGTGAATTTCACACTAAATGTTCAAGATACATACACCTTGCTAAATGTTGCATTTGTCCTGCAACCACTTTCGATCTAATTAAACCAATGATATTGAACGTAATTTAATCACGTGGTCCCAACACGCCCATTCGAAAGCCTGTAATGGTTTGCGACCTTAAAACAAACCCGTTAGCCTCAACAATTATACACTAGATGGCGTGGTATTCGGGCATCGATCAATGAACCGATACGAAGCGCCAAGCGGGAAATTTAATTATTTGCTTGGAAACTATAGTGTTATAACAAGAAAGTTACTAAGAAATTAAAAAAAATATATATCGATGATATTATTATAATCATAATTTATTTCTTCCTTCTTGGGTGATTTTTTTGGGGGTTGTGCAAACCTGCAAACCTTAGGTAGAGCCGCCACTGATTGGTTTCCCTTGAAGTTACAGTAAGTATATACAATAAATCAGTTGCTTTTATAATGTTTTTTTGGAGATTGACATACCTATTAAATAATTAATTTGTATGTAATTTATTACGATTAGTTTTTTTGCAAAAACCAATACTACTTAATAATATTGGAACAATTGCTTTAATAGGGACTATTGTTGTTTGAAAGTAATTTCCAGCGTACTGATGTCCCTGGTGGAAGAAGTTATTGAAATTTTTACTATTGTTAAAAAATGTAATGCATTAATGGACATCAAAATTTTTTTAATACATGTGTAGTTGCCTGTGGTCCTGACATTAGGCAACCAGAACGCATTGTTTTTATGTCTAAACAGTTGGCAAAACTTTAGTAACTAAGATGCTGCTAACTTAATGCAGAAGCCTTTTTGACACTTAATTTTGTTTGTTCGTTAATATTTATTTCTGTCTTGTTAATCATTCAAATTAACAACAATAAAAACTGTGATAGTGTAAAGTGGTGTTTTAATACAATAGAGTAATTGCATCAAAAATGAAAATCCCTAAAAACCTTTTTATTGTAATCTAGAGGTAAAAACACATTTCGAAAATATTTTTTTATATTCCAAAAGTTCAACCCGGCCCCAAAATATCAAATTGAAAAAAAGGTACTTTTCAAACGTTCCGAACTCCCGCCATATTGCATGACGTCATAAGCTTCACCAGCTGTCAGAAATCAAGATGTCAACAAATAATAAACACCGATAAAGCATAGAAAAAGTTTATGTTTAACATGGAAAACGCGAAACCAAAAATTGGTTGTAAATATTGTTTTGTGCCTTGTACAAATACAACCTGGAAAACTCCTGGGAAAAGGTTTATCACCGTGCCAAAAGGGAAAATAAGGATAAAGTGGATTAAAATAGCTTGGCGCGATATCAAAACATCGTCACCATTTTATTGCTCATTTTAAGGATCATTTTAATGTAAGTAAAATAAAATGTCGTTTACTAGGTATATGGTTTGAATAGGTATGTTAAATATTAATAAATTCAAGAAAATACGGCTGAGCCGTAACTACTCTCAGTGTAGGGTCATAAACTTTGCTTTTGATAATTGAAGGGACAACTTTCCCAGGAGTTTTCCAGGTTGTATTTGTACAACAAGGCACAAAACAATATTTACAACCAATTTTTGGTTTCGCGTTTTCCATGTTAAACATAAACTTTATCGGTGTTTATTATTTGTTGACATCTTGATTTCTGACAGCTGGTGAAGCTTATGACGTCATGCAATATGGCGGGAGTTCGGAACGTTTGAAAAGTACCTTTTTTTCAATTTGATATTTTGGGGCCGGGTTGAACTTTTGGAATATAAAAAAATATTTTTGCAATGTGTTTTTACCTCTAGATTACATTAAAAAGGTTTTTAGGGATTTTCATTTTTGATGCAATTACTCTATTTAACCTCGAAGACCCACTCATGTATGTTTTTTTGGGCCAAAACCGATGCAGGAGGGAAATTTTATACCTTCTTTCACTTCTGAACCCATTCAAAATACAGATGCACTGTTTGTATATTCTTTAATTTATTTTATTGTTAAAATTAGTGTATTATAACCATTTACTTTTTAAAATAAATAAATCTTTGCCACTATTTTATTTTATTGGTCAAATTTAAATAAATTAATATTATAATTATTAATATATACAAAATAGATAAAGCCGGCCCTGTAGTATAAAAGTTAATAAAATATTTTGAGTACGGCCCTAATTGGCAGGCGTTTATGACGTTTGTGTTTCTTAAGTTTAACACAGTGGTCGCCCTTCTTATATTCTTTTTCTATGCTTAATAGTATATTAAAGAACTAATGTCATAAGACGTCATTTTGTCGCACGCGGACAATTTATAAAACGAGCGACGAAGGAGCGAGTTTTATAATGGACAAGTGCGACAAAAGGTCTTATGACATGAGTTCTTTATGCTATTTTATCTATTTTGCAAACATTTCATAAAACAAATTAATTTTATACCTTATATTTAATTTGGTGGAATTTTACTTTACATAGTTGGTATCACATTTTGAAGTTTGAAGGGTCATTAACCTTTCAAACATTATCACATTCTTTCGCTATGGCGTCGTTAATTTACAATAAGTATTTACAATAAGCGGCTGTTAAAGAAGAAAAAAGGATTTTCTTTGGTGTTAAACAAAATTTATTGCACGAAAAGTCTCGTAAGTACTAGAAAACAAATCATAAAAATATTATAACCTATAGGTATTCAAAATTGTATTTTACCAGTAGCCAACCTATAAAAACAAAATTTTGGGTGGAATAAAGTACCTCATTAAAGAACCAAAAGCGGTGTTATAATGAAGTCATTATGAAACCAAAATAGATAAAGTACTTTTCGCCAACGATTCAGAAGCGAAGTGTAACTAAATCTAACTGCCAAATTTTCCATATTAAATATGGAAATTTTACATATTTAATATGGAAAATTTAGCAGTTAGATTTAGTTACACTTCGCTTTTGAAGATGCCAGCATCGTTGGGGAAAAGTACATTTAGCACTTTGTGTTTTGTTTTGGTGTTGGGGAATATTTCTAATATTTGTTTAACATATCACCAAAGTTGTCCTTTTTCAAGACCCTTATAATGTCTATAAAGTCTAATGCTTAGACCATAAACCCTGGTCTTGAAATTAAAAAATTATAATAATACAAATTATAGCAATTATTCTGAAATGGATCACAACTGAAAAATAGATGACCATGTCTATGTTATTTGTAAAAAATAGATGCAATTGATAAAATTTAATTATATTATAGATTACTAAGTTATTTTATTTATTAATAAAATAACTAATCAAAATGCTACTAAAATACTTAGTTACTAGTTAGTTAAGTTCAGTTCTATTCTAAATTCGTGCAGAACGAAATATTATTTCAAGCAGATAAAAAGAAAAATGCATTTAATTAAAAAATCCTAATACAAAATAAAACATTTACACAATTATTTATTAAAATAGAAAACTATAAGTACAGGGTATTTTCTTATAAATTGACACCCCTATAAAATCTTTGTTAGAAGATATATCGAAAAAACTTAAAATCCAGCTTGCATGGTTTAAAAAGTAATTTTTTATATATTTGTGTGTTTTGTTAATAACTAACCCGAAAATTATGCTAAATTTAACGCGAGAATCATGGTTGCCATGGATAAAGAACTTTTACCCTAAATAAGCATGGAGTTTGGAACAATTAGCGTTTTGTTAAAAATTAATAATAAAAACATGGTTATTTTACGACGTGAGTTCTATATCCATGGGAACTATGATTTTTACGTTAAAATAAGACCGGTTTTTGGTTCAATTATTATTAAAATGTTTAATCCAAATATAATATTTATATATACATATCATGTATATACATATATATTTATGTATATATATATATACAAATTATATATTTTTGAAATTAAAATGGATACTGGATTTTTTATTTTTTTAATCTCTTCAAATAAAGATTTTAGAGGGGTGCCCCATTTATATGAAAACCTGTACATACATATCTTATATCTTATTTTTTAGGATTTTAAAATTATATTAGAATATTTATTACGGTACAGAAGAATTAACCAGGAAATAAAGATTTATACAAGAAGTAAGGAGTACCTAAGTTTATGTTGAACCAGTTTCGGTGGCCAAGTTGACTCTAGTGCAGAGAATTTATTATTTTTAGGTTTCTGTTTTCAAAAAGAAAGCTTTAAAAAATAATATATGTACATTTAAATATATTTAATACATTAAATACATGCTATTTATAAATAATTTAAAATAATGTTGCATTATGATTTTTACTTTAAATGAATTTGAATAGAATATAGCATTTTAATTTTTACTATTATTTTACCAAAAACATTTTAAAATTTGAAAAAAAATCTTGCAAAAAATAGTAAAATTTGAAAACAGAAATTGGCATTCCAGTATATTTACAGGCACTACACAAGTATTTCTTATAGAAATATTAATTAAGTGTAGTCCCATATACAAAACAAACAACTTTAGGAAGATAAAATATATATTGTACCTTTTTATTTAACATAAAGTCATACTAAATAAAAATAAAGGTATATTAGAATTGTTCTATTTAATTTTTTTTTCTCTGTAAAAAAAATTGTTTTTAAGAAAAATAATGGCATTTTTCTGATTCTATTAGTAATTCATACATTTATTGTATCTTCCTTTTAAGTAATGTAGCGTAAACTTATTTACAAAAAAATAAAAATAAAATAAAAACACAATGCGCATGTATAAACAAAAAAACAAAAAGCGGTGACAATGTAGTCAACACAAAAGTGTACGGAAAATAAGAAGTGCTGAGAAATAAAATTAAAAATATAAACGGCACAATTAGAGGCAAACAGAGATCGTACTTACCTCGTCTTTGATCTGAAACAGATCTCGAACCTGTTCGGTTATCTTCGGCAATAATATTTGGCGACATTCGGGATACAAGAACAATTTACTATGCACTATGTCGTTGATTGACATCATTTTTTGCTTTGTGAGTCTGCCTTTCGTCACGCTGGTAAACATCTCACAAAGAAGTTTACTACAAAATAATATTTATATAAACATTTTTTTTATCAAACTATGAATCAAGAACACTATAAAACAGAGTTCATATAATGAATGTTCAAAAAAGTTCTCTAAAACGATGTAAAGTTCAAGTTATCCATGAAAAAACATTGACATAAAATTAAACTAATATTAACATGGTATAAATATTCTTATGCTTAGTTTTAACAAATGAAAAACGCAATAGAAACTTAAAACAATAATGAAACAAAAAATACAATTAGATTTTCGTCACTTCTAACAATCCACCTTGCATTTCAATACACTTTAATTTGTTGGAGTAATGTCTGCGCAGGCAGGTATTATGCTTGTATTATGCGCATGTTACAGGCATCTCTCCGTGTGACGTCATGTGCGAACCAAAGGCCGGCGGATAACTGGGTTAAAATGTTATTTGCACTGCAAATTCACGTTATATTCAAAAATTTATAAATATAGGGACGGCCTGGGTGCAATTATTAAGTGTAACAAATGTTAAGAGAAAGCTAAATTGGCAGCAAGCGCTTTTAATACTAATGTAACATATTTTAAGCAACAATTAATATCCTACCTTCTTATTTATCACATGTAATATTATCGCACTTCCGCTTTAAAGTGTCAAAAGTAAGAAAAAAATCTCAAATCTGCTTTTTTTCTTGTGACACTTTTGAAGCGGGTTTCCGATACAATTGTGTTATAATTTTTATTATTATTAAGAACTTATGCAAGCTGTACAAAATATGTGGTTAGGGTGAAAAGTTACCTAACAGAAAATTGGGTATACCCAAAATTGCCTTTACTTACTGTTTTTTATTTTCATTTTATCCTTTTCCTTGCATGCATTCACTGTGCTGCCAGATCTTTATTTTTGGAAATCGAAAATATTTAATGTTAAGTTAGGTTGGGTGTTGGAGTTTCCGTTCATATTTCTGCTGTGTGCTACAGCACAGCCCGGCAAATTTTAAATATTTATTAAGTCCAACAAATATAACACAAACTTAATAAATAACCTGTTATAAAACACCCGTGCGTGGTTTATAAATACCTTGTAAATAGTTAATGCTGTTCAATAAATGCAGTAAAAACTTTACGAAAAACCTTGCAAAACCATCTTGCGTGGCTTATACTTTTAAAAAAATAATAATTTCGGAAAAAATAAATCGTAGTCCATTTAATTAACTACGCCACCGAATACACACGTGTGTCAAGTGATTAGTGAATAAAACTATTAAAAAAAGCTATTTAATGGAGACTAGCGACGCAGAAAATGAGTCGGATCATGGAAATGAAAGTCAGCATGTAAAAGATAGAGGTAAAAGAAGAATAGAAAGCCCAGAGGCTGAATTAATTGGTTTTCAATACGGTAAACCAATATTAAGACAAGCCAAAAAACGAAATTCAAATCAACAAAAAACGAATTCATCGATACATGAAAATAATCCAGCAAAAAACGATACACAACAATCTACTTCTCAAACCAACCAAAAAACAATAAACAAGACGTCATTCAACTACTCCGAAAAAATGCTCGCATTTAAAAACAAAACATATAAAAATACCTTTTATTTAACAACACATGAAGAGATTACAAGAATCCAATTTTCTGATAAATGGCAAGATATTTTTCCAAGCTCGCAGGATGTTATAATAAAAACAAAAAATGGCTTTATACTTAAATCCGACTACAACAAGGAGGTACTGTCATCTACATTTAAAGTTCTGTCAGAAAACAATCTTATTAAAACATTCAATGTTTCTACACCTCCACCAAAAGCTACAGAAAACATTCCCAATGCCTCATTTTCAGTTGTAATATCAGCCGTGGAAAACGAAATTGATGATAATACAATCAGCCAACATTTAAAATCATTGGACATCTCCATTCGCTTCTGTAAAAGAATAATATCTAGAGCTACAGGAAAACCCACACATTTAATTAGGATCATAACGGGGTGCAACAAATCATTTGAACGACTTTTAAATGAGGGTATGTTTTTTAAAAACAGACACTACGCAGTTTACCCCAGTGCTCCACCACCACCCATCCCTGCGCCATGTGCACGGTGCCACCTATACACCCATCTTACAGAAAATTGCAGCACACCAACCAGTTGCGCAAAATGCAAAGGTAACCATCATACAAACCAGTGCACTTCACCGCTTCCTAAAAAATGCATAGCATGCGACTCTGAAGAGCATGAAGCATGGTCCACAAAATGCCCAAGAAGACCCACAAAGCCAATAGAGGGTATACCAAATATCAAAATAAAATCAATAAACAAAAGATCTTGTCAGATAGATGCAAAAATCACAAAAAAAAACAAAATTCACTCTTACATCACAGTACATGACATGATAGTCGATACATATATAAATAAATTAAATAAACCTGCCAACACTGACAGGGAAAAACTTATTATAAAATTAAAAAAACGATTTATAGAGCAGTACAACATAGACACTACCCCTATATTCTCTGGTAATAGGTTATACATATTTATGATAAATATGGATGATTCGGATAATCAAGATATTGCAACAGAACCAATAGAAGGCTATCAAATTCAATCAAACTAACATAAAAATACTCTACACGAATATAAACAGCTACCTAGCTAAAAAAAGTTTAATAAGTCATTACTTACAAAAAAATAATATCGATTGTGCAATGTTTGTGGAAACAAAACTCAAAAATATAATACCTTTAACATCACAATGGAAATCAATACAAAAACCAGGTAATATCTTTAATGAAAACATAAGAGGGGGAAGCATGGTTCAAACGAGGGCGGAAATTAATCTTGGCAAAGCCAATCCACCAAAAATTAATAATATAAAAAATGAATGCTTACATTTTACACTACCGTATCAAAATGAAAAATTGCATGTACTTCTTTTATACATTCATCCAAATGAGATAATTGATAGTACCGTATTTATAAAAGCTGCACTTTATAAATATTGCTTTATCATTGGAGACTTCAATCCTAATACTCACAAAAATAAACAACTACAACATTTTCTTAAAAACTCAAATTTTGTTAAAATCGATACTCCCCCTACATTTATCATGACAAACAATGCAAGCACAACACCAGACTTAATATTATGTACAGATAACATAAAAAATAATATAAAAAAAATAAATATTATTCCGGATTTATGTTCAGACCACCAATCAATTGAAATAACATTTAACCTGCAAACAAAAATAAATACCTCTCCTGAAATGATATACGATTTTAACAAATGCAACCTAGAAAACCTAAATGTAGAATTAACCGATTATATAAAAAGCATGCAAAATTTAGACCCAACAATAATTACACAATTCCTCAACTTTACCTGCCAAAAGATTCTGGATAACTCCCCTAAAAAACCAAAAACTTTTTACAATCAAGTACTACCTCCTTTCATACTAAGATTATTAAGAACAAAAAGACAAATGCTTAGAGAAATCCACAAATATGATAACCAAAACCTAAAATCTAAATTCAATGATTTAAACAAAGACATTAAAATATTAATTTTGCAATATAAATCCACCAAATATCTTGAAGCATGCAAGAATATAAGTAACTTAAAAGGCAAAAACTATTGGCAAGAAATAAAAAAACTTTCAGGTTACAAAAAGCACACTCATAAAAATGTTGAAATTGTAGAAAATAATGTTGTGCTCAATGAGGACCAGGATGTGGCAGATGCTTTTGGCAGACATTACAAGAAAATATATGAAATGTCGGAAGATATAAACTTTGATGATCAAAGCTTCAAAAAAATAAATGACTGGTACGAGTTGTACTTTAACGACCATACCGACCCTGGAGAAGTGCCTGAAGTTACTGAAGAGGAATATTATCATGTACTAAATACCGGCAAAAATACAGCACCAGGTTATGACCATATCTCCAAAAAGACTCTTAAAAACTTATGTGCTGAATTCCATGGAAAAGTTTTAGATATATATAATTACTGTAATAAAAACCGATACTATCCACAAGAATTTAAAAAAGGAATTATAATAAACATTCCTAAACCGAATTGCGATCTGACAAAAACAACCAACTTTCGCCCAATTACTTTACTACCAGTCATTGGAAAAAACTTAGAAAAAATCATTAAAATAAGGCTAGAAGAAGAACTAGACGACAAGATTCCACCCCATCAATTTGGCTTTAGAAAAAATTCTTCCACAATCCATCCACTGCTTATTCTAACTTCGAATGTTCAAACAAACAATCTAAAAGGCAACAAATCAGCAGCTCTCTTCATGGACATTAGTAAAGCATTCGATAGTGTGTGGCATGCCGGCCTATTATACAAATTATACAGCTTAAATTGTCCAAAATATCTAATTCACTTTATAAATAACTTTCTAAAAAATAGACTGAGTCTAGTTAAACACAATCAAAAATTATCTAAATCATTTTCTATACAACAAGGTGTCCCGCAAGGCTCTCCTTTATCCCCCATTCTATACAACCTATTCACATACGACATCTATTCTCAACAATTTAATCCTAACACATATATTCTAGAATTCGCAGATGATAAAGCTTTAATTGCACACCAGAAAAATTTAAAACTCACTTTGATTCACTTACAAAATCTCTGCAATAATATAATTAAGTTTTTTTCCAAGTGGAGAATAAAACCAAATCCCAATAAAACTCAACTAATAATATTCAATCACAAAATAAATATAAATTCCCCCTCTATAAAAATGTTTAATCAACAAATACGACCATCTAATTCATGCAAATACCTTGGAATACATTTAGATAGCAAACTCAATTTCAATTTACATGCCAAATTAATGAAAACCAAGATGATTACAAGAGCCAAACATTTCAGAAGCCTGACATACAAAAATAACGGTATACAACCTGAAACTGCGATTAAAATCTATAAAATGATATGCAGGCCCATTATTGAATATGCCTTCCTAATCTACCTAAATTGCAAAAAAACTACTGTAGGTAAGCTAGAAGTGGC